TTCAAAAAATGTATTTTATTATCACTTTTTTAACGATATTGAGTAATAAAAATTTCCTTAATGTAAAATACGAATGAAACGAGACGAAATAAAGACGTTGAGGCATCTTATTTCACCGCCATCTAATTTTATCTAGCCCAAAATAAATTCTTTTTAACTTGAAAAATATATCTCTGTATATCAACTTTTGTTTTAATTTCTGAAAATCATCTCTCACAATTTCTATATTCTATTTTCTTTCAATCTCTCTGTACTCAAAGTTTTATTAAAAATTGAAAAACTAGATTTATATAGATTATTATCTTTTCAAAATTATTCTTCTTTTTGTCTTATATAACCAAAAAAAAAAAAATATTGCAACTCTGTATTGTAACTCTCTAATATATCACTCTGATAAAAATATATTTAACAGATTGATCATTTCCAAATTTCCAAAATATCTTTTTTTTTAGGATTCATTCTTCTAGAGACCATCTGGTTCGATTTAATTTCAGTGTCAAGAAAAGCTCGATTCCGTAGTCGAATATCCCGAGGATATTTCACTTCCTTGGTTACCGACAATAGGATTATCGTCGTAACTCAGTTAATTGAACTGTGCCGCTTAACAAGGGTAATAACCCGCAAAACGATTCGTAACGGGCGTGCAGTGGCGGATAAACATGAAATGCACACGAGGCGACATCGTGGCACGCGATGCCATTTTTATTTCAATCGTTCAACTGACTGGAACAAATTCTCTTAACGTGAATATTTCCAACAGTTTAACGCGCGATAAAAATATTTCTTGAACCATATTCACACGTACGGGATATTAATACGGGATGAGTCTCTAAATTATTCGTTTTATGAAAGAGAAAAGCATGAAAAATATCCGTGTTTTCCGTGTTTCTTTTTTTTTTTTTTTTATAATAAGTTTTACAGAATTCAAGTTAAATAATTTTAATAACATTTTTTGCTATAATAATATGGCTTTTAATAATATAGTTTCTTATAAGAAATAATAATTGATTAATTTGTTAAAAAATAGATGATTCAATTTAAAAAAACAAATTTGATTTTTAAATATTCATTTGCAAAAAAAATATTATATTCGTTTCTACACTATAAATTTTTTTCATAATTCATGAATGATTCATTTCAAGTCGTCACGAGACTCTGTAAATTCGTGGAACATTTTTGGAAAATAAATTTTAGAATTAATTTTAAAAATTATAATATATAAAAATATCGATTTATAGTTATTTATTAAACAATTTAATTTTTCACTTGATGCACAGCAAAACGAATATACAAATTTTCATTTTAAAAATTAATGATAATTTCATGAAAGTACGATATATTTGGTAAAAAAAAATCTTTCAATTTTTAATGAAAAACGCATTATCTTAAAGTATAAAAATATGTAAAGTATCATACCACTATCAGTTAATTATTTCTAACGATATCAATGAAAATCTTTTACTTTTAACTATATTTACTATATTTAATATTTAATTTTATTAATATTTAAATTTTAAATTAATATTTAACTATATTTAACTTTTCAATATTTATTTCAATTTCAATTTTTACATAACCTAAGAGAAAAAAAAAATCACAAGAGATAAAATCAAACTGGAATGTGCAAGTCAACACAGGATTGAGATCGAATGATGGCGTAATCTTTAAAATCGAACAAAAAACTAAATGATATTGCGTGTACTTTCACGTCTTAAAAAATATTTTTTAAAAAAACTCTTACACCGTGTATTTTTGATTAATCCTCGCGTATACGTAGGTACATATGCTAATTAAAGCTTTAAATTTCTTCGTCCAATACGTTTGCACGTACACGTTACATTTGTTAACAATTTCATCTTCCTTTCCACGAACTTAAACCCACGCTTCAAATCCCATACGAAATACCTTGGAACAGCCTTTATACACCAGTCAAGAACAGAAAAGAGAAATTCTCCAGCTGTGCGAATGGTCACGTTGAATATTTCATTTGCACGGTGATAACCGGCCGGGTAACGTTGAACAAGGGAACCGAATAGAAACGAGGAAGGGAAAAAGAAAAAGGGAAAGGAAAAGAAAGGGAGAAAAAGAGAGAGAGAGAGAGAGAGAGAGAGAGAGAAAAGAAAGAGAAAAATGAAAACAAAAATAAAAAAAAAAAAAGAAAAGAAGAGTAAAGAACCTCGGTCGGTAAGAAATTCCCG